AGACACTTTAGAGATCAAGTCTAATTTCTTCATTTCCCAGATGAGTAAACTAGGTTGAGATTGGCTATAGGACTTGCTTTGACTGCAGAGTTGGTTAGGGACTAAACCTAATACCAAACTACAACTCTTTCCCATTGTTCCAGAATGACTTAATCCAGTCCAAAGCCAGGTATGGGGCAAGACCTAGGTCATGGAATTGACTGGATATGTTAGCATGCCAAAAAAGATAAATAAATAAAGTAACAACAGCAACAAAAAAGAAGGTATTTGGAGAATTACTTTTATTGCTTCTAATAAGAATGAGAATTATTCAATACATTTATAATTAAACTTACTATATATATTTTACTAGAGTTTCACCTAAACTTGTAATTATCTTTAAAATACCTTATCTTTAACTTTTTATTTAGATCCTTAGATATCAAAGATAACCCAGTATCAAAACTTGTGCACTTCTACCATAGTACTTATCATATTTTGCTGCAATTTTTAATTTAGTGTATCTTCACTTCCCCAAACCTCAAGCATTTTGAAGACAGAGCCTCAATTTTATTTCATTCTGTATTTTCTTGACCTATTGCAGTTCTTGGTACACACTAAGTCCATAAAAAAGTGAAATAAGAAAGAGCTTGAGTGGAAATGTAAATGGATTGTAGACACAGCTGACTCAAGAATTTGCTGTACTATCTTAGATAAATCACATTACCTTTACGAGCCTTGCATTTTCCATGTATGTAATGAGTAATTTTTTTTTTCAGGAGATAGATCTGGAACCAATAGATGGAAACTATAAAGACATTCTCAGCTCATTGCAAGAAAAACTCTTTCTAATAAGTTAAGTTTTCCAAAGCTGTGCTTGTTTGTTTCCTAAAACAGAATTCTTAACAAATGGAAGACATCAATCATAGGCTTAATGAGCATGTAGCGGAAGAGTTAAGTATTAAAACAATTAAATGATGGAAAGATGCTTGGGGTACAACTTCTTTATAATCTGAGATCTGGTGATGCCATGGGATTATTGTGGCACTGCAAGATTATGTGTATAGTGTGATGAACTGCAGGACATGCTACCCCAAAATATAGTACCTTGGAAATGCGGAAAACCCCAAAAGCAGAAAGGTCTGTCTGAACTTCTATCACCCCTGCTCTTTTGAAGACCCTCATGGGACAGGTATCCAGTCCTATACCCAGAGCAAAGGCATATTGCACAAAAATGCCAAAAGGAATTTTTGATCCTTTATGGTGTGGTAATGGTTTGGTTTATTACCATTACTAATGGTTAATATTAGGTTATATTCATTTTTATTCAATCATACTTGACACGTCTGTTCATTCTTAATCAAACCTGAACATAAAAATACACATTTTTTCCTGGGTCTTTGAGTCTTCCTTTTGGAAAGCTCTCACATTATGTAAAGCTCTGGTTAAATAAATAATTATGCTTATCTATTGTTAATGTCTCTGTCTTTTGTTATAGGGTGTCAGCCATGAAACTTGCGATGGGCAAGAAAAATACATCACTTGTTCTCTCCTAAAAGCACAAACATGAAACACATTGGGACTTGGCCTCCAATAATGCCACCAAGAAAACACCCACTTTACTTCTTTGTATAACATTTTACTCAAATTCTAGGTGATGACATTAATAATAGCTTTTCAATCTACTTCCTGGATTTGTTGTAAGGATAGTAAATTTCAACATACATTGAAAATTAACAGTACCAAAAGAAAACAAGGTGATATAATTAAAAGTATTTCAACAGTATTCTCTCCTGTTCCCTACAGAGAATATAAATTATGTTAAATCAACTGTATAGACCACCCCTTGAATGGAAGGATTTAATAATGGTTTGAAAAACAACATATCACCGTCTGTTTTGCCTGATGTACTCCTGACTATGTTTGGCTGCAGTTGAAATTAGCTTTTAAAAAATTTTATTGATATGAACATGTAATAGCTTTATCTTTTTAATTGTATGTTTGCCAGTTTCTCAGTATTACTAGAGCATAGAATTTCAGATTTATCTCTCATCGCTTACACACTTCACCCACGATGAGGTAAGATTCTCCATCTCCAGCCATATGTAACCAAAAATGTTCTATTAATATTCTGTATTGCTCAGCTATTGCCACAATAATGCTATAAGACAAACCACCGCAAACTTAGTGTCTTAAAGCAACTAGTGTTCATGATTTTTCTAGTTCACAAATCTGTGTGGTGTCTGTAGCAGATCTGTTCCATGGGTAGGTAGACTGGGCTTTCTTTCTTTCTTTGGGTTGGGTTTAGTTCTTTTCACAGGTTTTCTCAACCACTGAGGACCAAGGGCTATCTGCAGTATTCCCTTTTCTTGAGAAGTAGCACAAGTACACTTAATGCTTCTAAAGGCCTTGGACCACGACTAGCAGATTGTCTCATCTGCCTGCATTCCATTGGACTAAACAGTGACCTAGCCAAGTCTACATCAATAGAAAGGAGAAATATATTGGCTATTCATCATTATATTGCCACCACACTTGGGACTAGTAAGTCTACATAAATACTGTAGACTGAATGAATATTCAATAAATGAAAATTTCACTTTCTACTAAAGCATAATTCTAGTTGAGTGTTTCCAATAACACAATTTTGCTATTTCCCAGAGCAGCCATTTTTTTTTATTTGAGCATTTTAGTTGCTACAAACCCTCTATTATCATGAGTAAAATTTAACCTACTCAGTGTTCTTCCAATTAGATCTCTAGTTTCCACTTAAAAACAAGTACACTTCCTCTTAGATAAGACAGCCCTTTCAAATAATTGAAATAATTTTTCCATTCTATATATTCCCAGTAGCTTCAACAGTGCTAACCCCATAAGTCCATTGTCCAAATGTTTCTAGAAGCAAATTCATCTGTTAATACATAGATTTCAAATAATCTTCAAATAACTCATATAGAAAGATATCACCTATTTCTAGTTGCTTGTACACTATCAATATTCCAATTATGCAGATATTTTAAAACTAGTAACATAAAGTGATGAAAAAATACAATGTTTTAAAATAATGAAAATCTTTAAGTACAAAGGGAAATAATATAATGAAGATTTGTGTATATATGATGTAGGTCTTCAACTTAATAATTTCCTATATTTAATCAGGACTCTAATAGAGCATGAATCATTACATGTATAGATAAAATCTACTTTGTATTTCTCCCCTTTCTTAACTTTTGCCCTTTCCCCCATAAGAGGTAATGACTTGCTTAAATATTTTATAAAAATTTACCACATTCTAAGCCACAACCAAAAATTCTATATACATCAAATAATCAATGTTTTACAGACTACAGACTACATTATTTACATTTTGATCTGAAATCAATAAAAAGTTATAAACAGGATGTGTATGTGAAACAATGTTTACTTTTGTAATGACTGCAGTATTCTGTTTAAGTTAAATGTGTTTACAAATCTACAACTACACAGCTTTTTAATCTAACACCAACAGAAGTGCATTAAAACTTTCTACTATATAAAATTTTCTATTTGTAAATGATTTACAGTTCTCTTCATTTGCCTTAAATATTACAGATTAGAATTTTAGAATATTGTGAAGCTTTTTTTTTTTTTTTTTTTTTTTTGAGACGGAGTCTGGCTCTGTCACCCAGGCTGGAGTGCAGTGGCGCGATCTCGGCTCACTGCAAGCTCCGCCTCCCGGGTTCACGCCATTCTCCTGCCTCAGCCTCCTGAGTAGCTGGGACTACAGGCGCCCGCCACCTCGCCCGGCTAGTTTTTTGTATTTTTTAGTAGAGACGGGGTTTCACCGTGTTAGCCAGGATGGTCTCGATCTCCTGACCTCGTGATCCGCCCGTCTCGGCCTCCCTAAGTGCTGGGATTACAGGCTTGAGCCACCGCGCCCGGCCTATTGTGAAGCTTTTTTTACAAACTGACACTTCTACACTTTAATAATATTTTTGCATAACATCTATTTGCCTTATATTAATACATTTATACTTGCTTTGACTTTGGCTACTTTTGCCTACCTTTTTAATACCTTATTTGATTTTTCATCTTTCTGTACACTTACGTCTCCTTTAACTCAAATATAGGTTAGTTTTATTCTTTTGTTCAATATGATACTGACGATATTTGCTTATTTTAGGAGAGATTTTTAAATTTTGATTTCTGATGTTTTGACATGTATCTATTATACTTCCTTGTTACCTTTTTATTCTTTCTTTTTTGTCTTATATTGTATTAACAACTTTTTATTTTTTCTTCTCTTTTTCCTGTGCTTGCATCAAATTATATGATTTATGTCTAGCACTTAATATATGAGTTCATATTTTTAACACAATCATTTTGAAAGTATGAAGTTAAATAAAATATCCATGCTTCTTCAAAATACATCTAGGACTTGGAGATGTTTTAAATCTTACACCTTTCCTCACAACTTACTTCTAATTGTGATGTCGTATTTTAGTTCTATTTTTATATCACAAAAAATTATTTCTCTTTCTCCTCCTCCTCCTTCATTTTCTTCTTCCCTACAGGTTTGCAAACTAACGTATTAGACCATACTAAATCTTGGTTATGTCCCTTATTCCATCAGGCTCCTTAGCCTTAGTTCCATGAGCAAATCTGCTAAGCAGATCTTCCTTTATATTCACTAAAATTCTCTAATAGAAATTATTATCACATCAGGATCTGTGTCAGAGTTTTGTGTAAACCTGAGGAAAAATAATAAAGTATTTTTAAATTTTATAATTTCATTGGCAATATAACACCTACACGGACTCTTTTCTTTTTAGAAAATTGAGGGAATTTGGAAATATTCTGGTTGGTAATTAGTAATGGGTCACATTTAATGTTGATTATTTTTAAATTTAATTCCTGACTGTTATCACAAATTTATTCTTCTTCTGCTTGAATAAAGTCATCTTCTCCTTTGTGGTAAATATATTTGAAGCTAAAGCATAAAATAAACTCAGAGATCAGAGAGGTTTAAGAACATCACCTACCTGGCCAGCAGTGTCCAAGATGTCCAAGTAAGCTGGCTCATTGTCAATCCTGACCTGGGTCTTATAAGCATCTTCTGAAAAACACAAGACAACATTTACATTTAAATGTGACAGGAAAGGCATTACTAATTTTTAGATTTCATATAGAAAAATTTCTAAGTTACTAAGTAAGATAATCAGAAATATTACTCAAATAACATATACAGATTGAAAATGATATAAATCGGGAAAATTATAGGAGAAAGTGTTTCTGCTTATGGTGAAACCAAGTAGATTTCTCTTTCATCAGGAAAATTTTATGATCTGCAGTGCCCTAGTGGTGTTACCTAGAGAAAAACATGGAACAAATGTTATTAGTTATTTCCTAACAATGCAGGGCAAAATAGCGTCCTATCATCTTCATGGTAAAGGCCTGGATGCTTTATTAGAAGATCAGGAGTAAGATAAGATTCCCTGCTCTGACCTCCTTTGTTTAACATAGTCCTAGAAGTCATAGCCAGAGCAATTAGGCAAGAAGAAAAAGTAAAATCATCCCAATTGGAAAAGGAGTAAAATTATCTCTGTTCACAGACAACATGATCTTATATGTAGAACCCTAAAGATTACATACATGCAAACCCTAAATGAATTCAGCAAAGTTGTAGAATATAAAGTCAACAAGCAAAAATAAGATATGTTTCTATTGACTAATAATAATATGAAAAGACAATTAAGAAATCAATTTCATTTATAATGGCATCAAAATTAATTAAATACTTAGAATTAACAAAGGATGTGAAAACTTCTACATTGAAAATGGTAAAATGTTGCTGAGAGAAATTAAAGAAGGCACAAAATGTTGAAAGACATTTGATATTTATGGACTGAAAGACTGTTAAAATGTTCACACACGCCAAAGGAATCTACAGAGTTAATGCTGGGTTAAACGGTAATTCTGTTTTTAGTTATTTGAGAATTTAGCACACCACTTTCCACAATGGCTGGACTAATTTTCACTCTCAGCAGCAGTGTATAAGCATTCCCTTTTATCTGCAACCTCACTGGCATCTGCTATTTTTTTTTTTTTTTTTGACTTTTAAGTAATGGCCATTCTGACTGGTGTGAGATAGTATGTCATTGGGTTTTTTGTTTGCATTCCTCTACTGATTAGTGATGATGACATAAAGGGATGTAGAATTTTATCAAAAGTCTTTTCCACATCTATTGAGATAAATAACCATGTGGGTTTTGTTTTTAGTTCTATTTATACAATGAATCACACTTATTGATTTGTATATGTTGAGCCAAACTTGGATCCCAGGGATGAAGCCTACTTGATCATGATGGATCCGCTTTTTGATGTGCTGCTGGATTTAGTTTGCTAGGATGTTGTTGAGGAGTTTTGCATATGGATGAACAAACCATAGCTGAGAGTGTGGGATCCAGGTCATGGGCTGCTTTATAGTACACAGCCAGGACCAAGGTCAGTGGGCCTGTTACTCAAGACAGAGAGGACCCTGAGCAGATAGTGATGATGGCAAGGTTAAGGCCAAATTTAAATATAGCTGAGTCCACAGGGAGATGAGGCTGTCTTTGGGTCTATAATTGGGAAGACAGTAAGTGAGCCTGCCACCTGGATTTTGGCCTGCCTTCTCAAAATCTTCATCCTTGGTCTGGGGCTCCACTAGAGTTTCACAACTTCCTACCTAGATCCCCAAGCTCCCACCATGTTCCCACAAAGTCATTTGTGAATGGCTGTCAAATTATTGTTGCTGTGGGGGAATATGAGCAGGAGATCTCCTATTCTGCCATCTTGCTGACATCATGTACCCCAATTCAAGATCTTTCTTCTATTTTAACATAAGCATCTACAGTTAGACATTTCCATTTTAGCACTGCTTTTGCTACATCCTATCAGTTTTAGAATGCTGTGTTTTCATTTTCATGCATTTCTGAATATTTTCTAATTTCCCTTGAGATTTCTTCTTGAACTCATTCGAAGTTTGAGAATTGGTTGCTTAATTTCCACATATTGTAAATCTTTCAGTTTTCTTTCAATTGTTGATTTCTAGTTTTATCCCATTGTGATTGGAAAAGATACTTTGTATCCTTTGAATATTACTTCCTACTTATACTTGAAAGATAAAGAAGGAGCACTTAAATTGAATAGGAGGAGTTAAGAGAAAGTGAAGCAAGAGAGAGAGAGAAAAAAAAAAGCAGATCAGAATCCCAAATGTTGAAAAGAGTATTATTGAACAACAACAATAAAAACTTAATTTCAGTGTGGCTAAATCCAAGAGTTTAGAGAAGAAATGTTGACAAAATGTAAGAGATAAATCAGATTAACTTATGAATATATTTAAAAGAGTCATGTATTTGAATTAGGTATCTGAAGTCAGACTGCCTGGGTTTAAACCCTGGTTCCAGAATTACTAGCTGTCAGATTTTAGGAAAATCACTTGACATCTCTAAAATGTAGATGTCTCATTTGTAAAGGTACAATTATTTGTATTTGGGTCATGGAGTTGTTTGAAGGATTAAATGATATAAGGGGAGGAAGTCACCTTATATTTTGTGTGTAATAAATACAAGAGTATCTTGTATTTAAAAAAATAATAAAGGATAAATATGTTCAGTATTATTAAGAAATGTGGAGTTCATTATAATGCCATCTTCAAATGTGCATTTTAAAATGCTCACTCTGTCTGAAGTGTGGTGAGTGAATTGCAAGGCGGAAGACTAGAGGCACAGAAAGAAGATTAAGTAGATATGTAGTAATCCAGGTGAGAAATAATGTGTAAGATAATGGCATTAGGGTTGGAGGAAAGTTGGCAGATTTGCAAGATGTTTAGAAGGTAGAAACTATAGCATTTAGTGACTAATCAGATGAGAAAACAAGAAGGAAGAAGGTAGAAGAGAAGCTCTCAGATTTCTTGCATTTGAAGTTGGGCAGATGGGCATGACATTTCCTGAAAGGGGAGGCAGAAGGATAACCTCATGTTTAATTTTAGAAATGTAGACTTTGCCTTGCCTGTGGCTCATTCAAGTGAAGACAATAAAGAAACAGTTATCTGGGCCTGAAGCTCTGGATAAAGCTCTAAGGCTCTTCTTTCATTGTATTCATTGATGGTCTTATTCATGCCAATCTTATTATACATAGCCGGTTAAATATCTATACTTCTGTAAAACACAGTTTTTACATTATCTGTAAAACACAGCTGGACCTCCTGAAACTGGAAGTCACAAACTCCTAGAGTCTGGCTGCAATCTACATTTTGTTTTATGTAGCATTTATATTATAAGCAAAGAGCAAACTGAATCACTGCTAAAAGATTTTAGAACATCATCTGATTTTGGCACAACTCAATAATTATTCATACTATTGATTGTGAGCCACAAGTAAACAAATGAATTATTTTCAGAAACTGTTGTTGTAGAAAGTAGTAATGATCAACCACAGGAGGCATTTTTCCAATGCATAATGCTGAGTAACTCTCACAAATCAGATTATTGCTAGCTGTGGGAGATATGAAGACACACAAAAACACACATGGGCACTTACAATCATGGTCTCTACTCTCAAGGGGTTTGTAAAATCATGGTGGGAGACATACATATAAACACACATATACAATGAGATGTTAAAATCGCAAAATGTATAAGAGCATAAATCCCACTTCAAGGAAATTCATTCCTTATGACTGTGCTCCAAAAGGCAGGAGTTGTGGAAAGTATGACTTGCAGGGTGCTCCATCTAGTATGATTTTAGCAACTCTCAGCCATTCTAAATGTATTCAGCATATGGCCAACCACACAATTTTTCTATTTTCTATTCCATTGCTCTTTGTACATTCACTGATCTTCCTCTCACAAAAGAGAAATCTTGTGGAATCACTTGCAATTTATTTGAAGATGCATGGGGTTGTTTTTCAATTTCATAGGGAAATAAGAACAGTTACTCTGAAAAGGACTCTGTGACCCAAGGATTATAAGTGAATCTTTCAGATTTTGTGTTTGTTTATTTAAACTCAAAGCCCCAAAGAAGAGCCTGCTGAGGCCAGGGGCACGCTGAGTAATCTAGGCGAGAACTCCTCTGTGTGATTATTTGAGCTCTAGATAAACCCAGCACATGAAACGTATATCAAATAAAAGCTTCTCTTGGGATCAGAAAACCCCTTAAAAAGGGACTTGATGAGAATTGGCTCGAAACTAAAGACAGACCTTTTATCCAAGGTTTTTTTTTTCTCTCTTTTAAAAAGTGTCTATCAGAGTACACATTTCATTGTGGGGAATCTAGGTCACCTGCCTGGCCTCCATAGAAACTAATCCTTTTCATTTCCTCCCCATAAACAATCTTTCTGTTTCCATTCATTCACTCCCTTTGAGACCACCCATGCAGAAATACACTGTCAGAAATACTCTCTTGAATGCATATAAACACTTCCCTGAATTTCAATCATCTTCCTATAGACCCAATCCTGAAGTGAACTGATTTATCTTCCCAAGCATGAGGCCAAATGTATACAAAGCTTTATCAGGCAGAAATGGTAGCAGCTGCCTGCTATATCATTTGCGCAGAAAAGCACACTGGGACTGCATTCTTGGAGGCACTACTACCTTAAAATTTATCTCAAAGTACTAATGTTTAATTTGAGATCATTTCTTCTCAGGATATATCTTCTCCACTGTCCCTCTTCAGCAGAATTGCGTAAGAAGAAATCACTAAAGTCCTGTATTAAAGCCTCAAATCTATCACTAAATATCTGTTATTGGTAAGCCATTGAAACCTTATTTTTAAGATGGCAATAATAGTAAACACTAGTCAATGCATGGGAGTTCTATCAGGATCAATAAAAGTAGCACATAAGATAGTGCTTTTGAAAAAAGAAAGCAAAATTCAAACTCAAGGAATATTATGTTGTGAGTTTTATTTAGCACTGCTTCAAATTAGCCATGAAACTAAATTAAAACAAAATTATTTGTGCTATTTATATTTACCCATGTGAAAATGTTTTTCCCAAGCAAATCATAAACATTTTGGCAAGATATGTTTGCAATAAAAACCAGAAATATAAAGTTTTTGATTAATTAAAAA